ATATTTTGAAAAGTAATTCTGTGAGAGCCATACATTATGTTTAAAACTAAAAATTCAAGTAAATGTGTGCATTTTGTGTAATTTCAACACTAAAAATGCAATAATTATGTCTCTGAATTCTTTTTAATAACATTGTTATGCTGTTGCTAATCAAATATTGATATGCAATATATATGTAGATCAAATGAGTCTGAAGAAACATTTTTTTTTATCATTGAACATTTGTCTGCGAGCCAGATGCAACCATCAATAGAGCCACGTCTGGCTCGCGAGCCATTATTGGTTCCCGACCCCTGCGCTACAGGGTCAGACCTGTACTTTTAAAATTAATTAATTATTATTAATGTTATGGTCTTACCCTTGTTATAACTAGAAATAATGGTTTTAAAATTTATAATACCTGCATGCAAGGTTATATAACAGAAGTACTTGTATTTTTTCTTTGATTGTACCCAGGGCTTACATGGGAACGTCATTCCTTATAATTATAATATATTTTTTGGTATGTAATATGTATATATATATATATATATTATATATACCTGCATTCAAATATTTTTTTGGGGGGGTGGGAAGGGAAGATCTTAGGTGAGTTATAATAAAAGCAATTCTATAATAAAAGATTCTGTATGATTTGGCTGCGTGCGTTTTAAACGGAGAGTTTTTGGTCGACCAGGCGTCCCCCTGGCCAAAGGGGGAGGTTCCCGGCATGTCGTCGCACGGTCTGGCAGGGAAAACCGGCGTCTGGCCCGTGTGGAGGTGTGTGGGGGGGCATTAAGAGCTTGCGGCCCACTGACACCATTTCCCAATGTGACGTATTTAGTATGCTATAACCCATTTAAGCATTCAATACTTGTAATTGGTGAAAGTTGGGGGAGTGGGGGGGGGGGGTGTGACACCAACTCTAGTGACTCCTCTGTGTGAGTTTCCACACTCTATTTCACAGGACCTTACCCCTATTTACAGAGTGATACATAGTATTAGCAAAATTAATTATCAATCACAGGTCGCAAATTTTAACGTAGGAATAAGGGCAGACCATCAAATACTGCAATTTAATTATCAAACACAGTTAACGCAGATCATGTATGTTAATGTGGGAAAAAACTCAGGCTATCCATTAATGCAATTTAATTATCAAGTACCGGTCGTGTATGTTAACATAAAAACAAGGACATGTTATTCAGTACCTAATTAATTTATCAAACACAGGTTGTGTATGTTATTGTTTGAACAAGGGCAGGTTATCCAATACTTGAAAATCTCTTTGATAATCATGCTGTTAAAAAAATGAATTTCATCCATTAAGCATTAGACCCCTTAAATTTGCAAGGCCCCCTG